GTGTAATTACTACATCTTTTCTTTTTCTAATCACAGGAGACTTCTCTGAGCAACACAGTTACTGATTCTACTACTCTCTCACTTCCTTCTTCCAACTGCTCTTTGAAGCTTGGCACTGGTGTTATTTTGCCTCAGATTGCTTAAGAGGCCTCATTCATGAGGCTGACAGCAGCCAGATCTGTGATGCCTCTTCAGAGACTGTCATTTCCTCTACCCCGAAGATTTTAGAACCCTTGTGAGTGGAATGGCAAAGTGTCCTGTTCATTATTCATCTATTTGCACCTGCCATTGGAAACTCTCTCCTCGATTTAAAATACCCTCATTACATGGGTGTCCCCGAGTCATCCCTGGCCCCTGCTCTCGTTCCTCTCTTCACATCTGTGTTTATTCAACCACCACCAAATGACAAGCCATCTCTGGAACTTATTTATTCATTAAAAAATGCTTGTAAATGTTGATCACGTTGCAGGCCCTGTGCTAAGTGCTAGGAAATGGAGTAGGTAAATACATAGTATTCCTGTCTTCCAGAAGCCTCCAATCCAGACATTACATGAGCAATTAACTCATAAAAATTTATATATAAACATAGAATTTAACATATAATTTAATTTATTTACTTCAAATTCAGTTTCTGGTTGAATAAGGAAATTAAGGAGAACTTCTCACATTTACACTGCAGGAAAAGTAGAAGCCAGACATACAAGACAAGAAGGGAGGAGATCATGCAAGCAGCAAGTACCACATGCGATTGCCTTTGATTTGTGGTGCCGTCTCATCTGACTTCTCTGAGGCTTAGCTTCTTCAGCTGTAAATGGGTTTCTGGAAGGACAGGATGATCTCTGGCAGGTAAAGGTGTCTGACACAGACTCATAAACAGTCCCAACCCCATAATGGATAAACCCAAAGTAAACTCTATCTCCTAGTGGACTGATAAGAGGAAGCTGTTTTTTTTTTTTTTTTAGTAATAGTTAATTTTTACATCATTTTGTGCCTTTTTCGATCTCGGTTGTAATCCCCATGGGCTTCCATCATCAAATCACACATGTATCATCACCACAGTCCAGTGCATTTCACCCCCAACCCCCTGTTTTTGATCCCATTCCCCACACCACCCCCGTAAATGTCTCTGGTATAAAATTGTTCATTATTATTATTTTTTCCCTTTGGTCCTTTATGCTCCTGCTATGAGTGAAACTATCTGATAT